GTGTGTGTGTGTGTGTGTGTGTGTGTGTGTGTGTGTGTGTGTGTGTGCAGTTTTGTGTTTTTCTGCAGCTGCAAAAAGAGAACAACACAGCAACAGTTGTCTGGTTATCTGTCCTAAAAGAGGCTGCAGTGCCAATAAACCTCTCATAGAGACTTAAACATGCACGCTTAATGAGCGATCATAGTGTTTTGACGTGATTGATAGTCATAGAGCCATAAAATCACTCAGCTTTGACTCACTTCCATCTGCTAGGTTAGAGTTACTAAGTAAGACATTGTTTTGTATGTTTACAGTGGAGGAAAAGGGATTAAATCAGGTCACGTGGGATTTGAAGAATGTGATACATTTTCTTCTGAAAGTCCAAAATATATCTGATTGTTTCTTTCTTCTATGTCTGTCTCTAACATTTTCTTTTTATTTACAGTATGTTGTTGTACGTCTTTATTTCGATGCAATCTTCTTCTCATAGCTGCTAGCGGCTTTATTATTTTAACCTCTGTCATTAGCTGATGTATAGCTTAAGTGTTGTGGTGTCAAAATCTCCACTAACTTCTACTATTAAGATGCTGCCTGCATGGCATGTTTGCTCTTTTAAACCCATATTGGTTGTGACTGTTGGTGGCTATTCAAAAAAGCAAAGAGTAAGAGTAATTAGTTGCACTTTCATTGGATTCTGAGCATTTGCGACCAGCAAGCTGCATGCCAGAATTTCGCATTGTGAATTTTTGATACTCAGTATATTTTCACGTGCATGGCTTGCAGGACTGTGGCTCCTTAAACTCCTAACTCCTGTGGCTGTGCAGATAATTTTGTAGCCCATCTCCACCCGCCTTGGCAGCTGTCCTCACCTTTATGATGTTATTTATAAGAGTACACTTTAAAATGAAGATAAGCAGATTTAGACCAATTTATTTTTTGTAAATAATTATTTATACTTGGCATGCATGTAGCCTAGGGTTGGGCAATATTGGCAAAAAAAATTAATCATGATTAATTGTGGTATTTAGCTGATAACGATTAATTTGACGATTAATCCCCTGGAGTCCCTGGACACCCTTATGTCCTRGTCACATGACCAATTTAGTGGGAAAGATTTACTCTTCATTCAAATCTGTTCCAAGTTGTGTYAGAATTACAGACTTCAGGCTATACTTCAAATTTTAATTTGTGTTGATAGATAACTAAATTACACAACTTTTTTTAAATGCTTGTCATATTTGAAGCAGAGAGGAGCACCAGTCAGTCTGCCAGGCGGCATTAATCGTATTAATCGTCAAGTGCCAAAAAATAATCGATTAATGTTTTTCTGACGATTAATTGCACACGACACGATTATGCCCAACCCTAATGTAGCCTTGAACATTTGGAGCAGTAGCTCCAGACGTTTTCTTTTTTCTTTTTCTTTTTTTTTTGTATTTCTCCATTAACATAACATCTATTTCCTATTTAAACATTGCAAACTTGAACCGTTTTGTACAACATAATTACCTGTCTTGCTATACAAGGCGAAATGCTGAATAAACATTGTTTACACACATGCAATCTGTTACATTTGAGGATTATTTTGTCAAAAAATTCTTACTAGTGCTTGAAAACTATGCCTTCTTTTATTCTAAAAAATGCAAGCAGCATTACATTTTAGTGTTGACATAGCTCATATTACAACAAAGAGGTAGAAATCAATTTGCATGAAAAAAGGGCCTTGTGATCACATGAAATCTATRCTCACCTACCTCATAATCCAGAACAACTCAACCAAAACAAGAGACAAATGGCATTGTTTCTGTGGATTTTGTTCTTCCTTAATCTTCTCCTAGGTTTAAGTATTTTTAAGTGACACTTATTCTGCACACAGCCCTCCTGCTTTTTATATCCTGCCACTTACTTAGCTGGGAATAGYGAGGCCTTGCCGTGGCTGATAATGAATTAGGTGTTGAAACGGTACGGGTGAGACCATGTCGACGCAAATACTGTAGTCTGGAGTGGCTCATAGGTCAAAGTGTCAGTGTGTTTGAATGTGAGTTTGTGTCAGTAGCTGTAAAAATAGTTTCTTCTTGTACTCCTAATGAGCGTGATCCTAGGCTCATTTAGCTTTTTTAAATCCTTTTGATGTTATGGTATTTTATTCATGAGCAAACGTCGATATGCTTATCTAAATCAAAATGAACTTTAAATCTATCCAGAAGTCTAAAGTTAATGCTGTTGTTCAAGAAGGAAAAAAAAAATTTACGGTTAAGCAATTGTGTCATTCTTCATCTCTTGAAGTATTACTGAAGTTAGAGGCTAAAGCTGCTAAGGTGAATTTGGGTGAGGGTTTCAACGCAGGACTTTATTCGTCCCCTGATACTGGTCCGGTCCTGGCGTCAAGGTTCCATCATTAGCGCTTGTCAGTTGTCAGCTTTTCACCATTCCTCAGTGATCCTTTGCACGCGACCAGAAGTTTTCAGGAGTCCGATGCTGTTTTGTCATGGTCACAAATAATGGCCTTTGAAAATCCCCAAGGTCAAAAGAATAGCCGCTTGAAGTCTCACTTATCGTCCGATCCATTCGCGCTCATGTAAATGAGATTTTTACATTACCACTTCCTTATTGGCATGGTGAAAACAGACCCAGATAGTGTTGAGCCAGGATCTGTTTGTTTTTAGTTTTATTGCTGTGGTGTTATACTAAAAACATTGTATTACATCCTTTTTAAGACTTGAAACAGTGGGCTCAAYTCATACAGGGTAGCCACAAGTAGTGACAGTATTAGTTGATCTTTGCTCACTGAGTCATTGAAGTTGGAACAGGTCACTCAGGATACTAATGGAACTGTAAGTCCGTGAGTTAAAGAGTTTCCTTTTCCCTTTTTTGTTACAAAAAATTCCTGGACCCTGCTGTGCAGTGGTTTTATTCTGAACTGATTCATGATTGTTTTGCTTATTGCTGCCTGCTTCCAAAGGCAGAGGGATACTATTTTCTTTGTATGTGTGTTTGTCTCTATCATTAATATCTTAATACCTCATGGACCCCTGTACAATTTTTAGGAAAATCTTTTGGAAAGTGTTCATGAGATGAAAATCTACAATTGATTAACTTTTGAAGTCACTCCTGTTCAAGATGACTACCAAAGCAAACACATAACTGTTGGCTATAACTTGACATGTCATTCTCAGAGTGCTAATACTGCATGACATCTTTGGCATTAATGTTTACAGTCAATATTCTTTGTCTGTTAGCAAATTATCTCACAAACTGTTGGACAGATTTTATTGAAACCTTCAGAAGACAGTCATTGGATGTCCTCAACAACTAATGGACATTTTGAGTCAAGCCAAGTCAAGATTGCTGCCACAGTTAATCAAACTAAAATAAAATGTCTCTACTTAAAATCACCAAAAATGTGATCAAATGTATATGGTGGTAGCTGAGGGTCATCCTCAACTCACTGTGTATTAACACGTCTCATAAGGTGTAGCTGTTGATGGATGGCTATGACAGTCATTTTGAATTATTACTCTGTTATAAAAGGTGACAGATGATATGCACTCTTTCAAGGAATGCTAGGCCTTCGAGAATTAATTATGAATTTAAAAGGATGTTGTCCAAATAGCATTTTGCACAGTAGCTGTTGTACTGGTTTTAGGTATCCAGGCTCTAACTGAGTATGAGATGCTAATAGCAGTTGTTACATCACCATTCTGGGAATAGCAGGGAGTCTGTGGTCTAGAGGTGCTTCAGGCTGACCTCCCTCCTGTGTATATTCAGCCTGTGAATGTATGTGTGTGGTCATCTCCAAATATACATTCCTATATAGATTACAGAGCAGGAGCAATATTTATTACTGACGCAGGTTAGTGGACACATAATCTGAATGTATAGTTCCTGCATGGTGTGACCAATYGTGGTTTGTAGTTCTGGATAGAAAAGAAAAGAAAAAGCGTCACCACTTATGAGAATTCACCCAAGTGACTCGTCTCGACTGGCAGTCCGTCAGAAGCAAGAAGTGAAAGAAAATCTCACGTGAGACCAGTTTGACATTTCTGTCAGCTTCTGTGTGGAGAAGGCCACTTTACATCAGTCAACATTAAAACCCATGGGGGCGTTACGAAAGCTCTCAAACATACATCTCATTCTTTCTTCTGGTTGGCTAATGTATCCGTACACCTGATGAAATGCCACAGAATGCTGAGTGTGGGATTAGGTTGGACTTTTTGTGATTCTGTGATCAGAGTAGTGTCTTTATGCGTATGCACATACCGCGTGGTATGCATGCACGATTACCTGTGTGCGTGGTAAAATAAAGATAGTGAAGTCTGTCACTTAGCCCCCACTCGTCTACACTCAGGAGAGGCAGGGGTGGGGGGGCTAACTTTCCAGTCTCATAGCCGAGCATGCCTGAGTCTGAAAATAGCTGTATCTGATCAGTGCTTCGCCCAAACAGGGAACTCTCTTTCCCTGTCACTCCCTCTCTAACTTTCTCACTCTCTGTTGTTGTCTCTGTGCTTCCCAGGCATTAAACGAGGCAGGATCCAGGAGTAAAGGAGGAGACCAGGAGGAGAAACTGAGCCAGAGTTGAGGAAAGAAAAATAAGGGGGGGAAAAACAACAGAAAGAAGTAGCAAAACCCAAAGGAATTGGAACTCACAAGTCATCCTTATTTGACCCTTCATAGCAAGTTTGTGGTCGTTTGGTTTTATGACGGTAAGAGTTACCTTTTTTTTTGTTGTTGTTGTTTTTTGATTGATGGATTTTTGCACCTGCACTGTTATTTTAGAGGAGCCATGTTTTTCAAATTAAATACATTAAAGATTTGCAGGGGTTTATGTGCATTTTTGAAACAACAGCAGAATTTATTTATTTATTTATAATTTAAGATAACCCTCAAAGATTTGTGATTTGTAATAAATGGTACCGATTGAATTGACCCTCCCAATTAATTCTAAAATATTTTAAATAATATTTAGTTCACTATTTTAGTTATAACTTTTATTTGTGTCTCTTGAACCAATATTATAGTGTTGTCTGCCCAGTTGTCATGTGTCTATATTTAATTTTAACACAAAGTGCTTAAAAGAGAATACAAATTAAGAGATCTGAATTTGCTTTACAGTCTATACACCAGAAGAGAAAAGGCATTGACTTTTCTGCCAAAGCCACAATTACAGAGGAAGTGTAGAATTTTTGCCTTTTGTGACAGCTGACAGGGCAAAATTGTGTTAAATAAAAACCCAGTTCTCTCCTGCATTCACCTCTGAAATAGCAGCAATTAACTTGGATTATAATTTGGAAAGCTGGAAGCATTAAAATGTTTTGTGAATGACTCTTCCTAATGTAGTTGGATGTTTTAAGCAAAAAGAACAATTCTAGTTCAACCCCCCCAACTCCGACCTCTCCTGGCCTCACTCCTTTAACCCATTACCTGCCCATGACGCTGCCCTAGAATCTCGTTTTTCTTCTCTCTCACGTTAGCATACTTTCGTCTCTTGTTACGCCCTTTTTCATCCTCTCTTATTTCCCAAACAACAAAAGCCACGCACCAATCCCGCCATTAGATCGGTCTCAGAGGTGTTCAGGAATGTCACCTTGACCCCTCGGGAACACAGTAAGGGGTGGTTCTCAGCCTCAACTCACAGCGTGACCCTGTGGTTCGCTTTGGCCTGGAATCTCGCTTTTTGAGAGACACTTTGCATTATTTAGACGTCACAGAGTCTTAACAGTTCAGCGTGAAAACAATTTTTTTGCAGGGCATGAAATAAAGGTGAGGGACTGCTTGAATAGATCAGTATTGCCCATCCTTGCAGGACGGGACATGTTGGAGAGTGAGGTTTTCACAAAAATGTGTTTATTTACTAATCTGAATTAGTATTGTTATTATTTCTACATTTACCAGACATGAACATGAATACCCAGGCCTCCCTTGTAAAAGAGATCTGGGATCTCAGTGGGATTTGCATGGTTAAATAAAGGTTATAAATAATAAAATAAATAAATGAAACACTGTTCAAACAGTGAAATAAATTAAATACTCTGTAATACTTGTTTTGTTCTTTTTTTCTCCTTTATTTTTACTTTTGTTGATAGCGGTAATTGATTTAAAAGCCAATATGAAGAAGCACATTCACACTAAAATGTTACAGCTAAAATGTAAAATGGCTAAAATGTTACTTACTTAATTGTTACTTACAGAAAGCCTTTTAAGTTTGCAGTGGCACTCTACTCAAACACATAAAAAGTCCTTTTGTAGCGATAGTTTTTGGATTGGGTCAAAATATTTCTCTCTTTTTTGCMATCATGTTGAATTTCAGGAAAGATAAATGTCAATACGGAAATAAATCAAGTTGTCTGAAGACTGAGCTGAAGGTTCTGGTTCACCCAAGAGGTTAAAGGGTCCTGTCTAATTGTAGTAAAAATAACAGCTTTGCTAATCATCTTCTTCTTATCTTCACGCTCGGCACTTAACATTTGTACCCAGGGAATTCAGACTGTATGTGGGGAATGTAATCCTAACCACAGTGATAATCACCGTGCCCCAGTGCATTCTTTGCCTCAAACAAAACCCATTTTAAGCTGTTTTTATTTACTTTATTTGCTGCAGTTTTTTAAAATAAGAGACTAGGAAGTGAACTTGTTTCTAATAAGCTGAAATGTAATGTGATAGGATGGTAATCTTCACTAACTACATCTTTGGTGATACATGTGGTGTTTCAGAGTTTCATGTAAAAGGTAAACAAATGTTTGAAGAAGAATATGATTAGGGTTTGTCAGTGACATTGGCTACGTTCACACTGCAGGTCTTAATGCTCATTTCCGATTTTTTGAAAAAATCCGATCTTTTTGTGTGAACGTTCACATTACATTTTAAATGTGACCTGTATCAGACCCCTGTGTGAACGCAACACAGCACTGATGTGACGCGCATGCGCAGTAAAAGACGTGACGTGTCAACAGCCGGCTTGTTTGTTTACAGAGCTTGCATGGATGCTACATTTTGCGCATCGAATCGGAAGTTGTTGTTTAATCAGAGCCGATTAAATAATTATCTGACATGTTTCTTTAGTTCAGTTTTTATATCTGAACCTGCCTCTGACTGGGATGCTCCAGTGAAGCTTTTTTTTTTTGAACGAAACTACGAGCTGGAAAAAAGTATCGACCGAGTAGCTAACTTTAGGATCGATACTCTCCGCGACCCAGGCTGGACATCGTTATTATCATACTAATGAAAAATATAAAGATGAAGCAACTGGACTTGTGTTTTGGAGCTGTAAACACACGGAGCTACAGATTTAAACAGCGTGACTTGAGGTTAGTGTCTTATCGATCCTTCACCCCCTCCTCCTGATGAAAAAGTCAGATGAATGTGACATGAGCGTTCACACTGCAGTCACTTTGAAAACATCAGATATRTATCCGATTTAAAACCACATACTGAAACGGCCTGGGTCGGATTAGAAAAAATCGGATTTGTCGCGTTCAGACTATCATAAAAAAAATCGGATATGAGTCAGATGGGTCAAAAAAATCAGATTTGGGTCGGATTTGCCTGCAGTGTGAACGTAGCCATTCACTCAGAGAAGTTCTTGTGTCCCAAATTATGTGTTTAAATCATACTTTGCACATTATTTTCACTCTTTGTTATTTTTTAATCTATGTGACTATTAGAGATTGTTTGAGTTAGTGCTAGCTGGTACTTATGGCATATAACTCCCATAAATTCCTACTGTTCAGAAGTGAAGTGCTCAGAAAGCTCGTTATTCTCAAAGCACTCTTCAAGGACTTCCTTTTCTGTAAGCAAATGGAATGCAGAAAGGTTTGTTCTCTGATGAATACCAGAGTTTTAATTTTATTTTTCAAACCAAAAGTGTTTGAGATTTCTTGAAGACCTGCAGTACCTTTTTGTTTCTTGTGGAAGTGCCATGTCTTGAGAGACTAGGCTTTATTTTAGAAACAATTTTGACTTTCAGTTCTGTCTTTTTATGTCATGTTGTTCATCTGTACAAGCTCAKTTTGTAGTGATTTAGTCAGCTACCCTATCTAAAAGCCTTAAAATTAGCCTCTGTCTCTTTAGGAACCTCCTACTATTTTCAACACTCCCACTTCAGCACGCCTTCACAACATTGGAGGGGTACTCTGTGGGGCGGGCGCTCGGCTGCAGTCTGAGCTCCAGGGTGGAGCTTTGTACAAATAGGAGGTGCTTTGTACCAGTAGCTCCACATGGCTACCACAGGAAATTCAGTGGTTTTTCAAACATGCATGAGTGAGTCAAACCAACACTCTGGGTGATTTTGATGAGTGTATGACATGATATAAAGCTCAAAAACGTCAATTTTGCATTATACCCCGTAACGACACATTTTGTAATAATTAGGGCTGGGCGATACGGCCCAAAAAATAAATCTCAGATTTTTTTCATTCCAAATTCAATTTTCGATTTTAATCGATTTTGTTTCCCACTTAAGGGAGTGCCTCTGTTTCAGGTGTTGAAACATTTTTTGTACCCCTGCTTTTTGTATCAAGAGCCTTCAAACAGATTTTGCAGTGAGGTGTTTRTTGCTCCAAGTCCGAGGTTGCAAAACCTAACCAGTTCCAGAAAACTGAAGAAACAGTGCCTTTTTTGAGAAGTAGATCCTCTTTACTAGCTGCCATATTGTCATGTTGTGTACTAAGAGTCTTGAGGGACAGGTGGGATGACCTCTGAACTACAGAAGCCCCAAGGAGTGCACTGGTGGGAAAAAAAATCTAGATTTTCCCCAAATTACATCTTTATAAATGGCAAATTCGAATTAATCRATTAAATCGATTTATCGCCCAGCCTAGTAATAATGTCATAAAATCATGCTTCAAAATGCACCAAATAAATCAGCACTAAAACCACATAATGTAATAATGGATTCAAAATGTAATAAAAGTCTTCAACGCATTTTGTAATACTCGCAGCTGCATTATGTAATAATATTATTACATTTTTGTGTTTATTATTACAAAATGCAGTTGTTGCTCTTTGGAGAAATCATAATTTAATAATCTAATCACAAACCAGTGTTTTTGTTCATTCTAATCAATAGACTTGCAATAATGATCATGTTGCAGATACTATGCATTTAAATCTATTATAGTCAGATCTTTTTAGGTATTGGCCTAAAATTTGTTGTGGTAGCAACTGAGAGTCARCCCAATTACATATTCTATGTATTTATGCAAGATATTGGCCTAAATTGCTGTCATTAACTATTGGGAGTCCACTGTGCATCTGTTAGCAAAATATTTCATGAGCCACTAAATATTAATAATGTTTTCAGGAAATTATCATTGGATGTACAGCAAGTGATATGCATGATATACATCATTTTAAACAATGTTTGACCTTTTTGTTATTTTGTTCTCATGTTCCTGCATGTATTTTGTTGTTTTCTCTTCTCTCCATGCACATCAAAACAATATAAACCAAATGCAYCCTAAGGTCTATATTGGAATATAAGATAACAAACTCACAAACTGTCACATCCTATTCATTCTTCCTCCCCATAGCCCTGACTCGCAGTGAGAGGAATTGTGTTACATAATTGCATTAGTGCTCTCAGGCCAGTGGCTCTGCTCGTTAGTGGAGTTGTGATGCAATCTGCAGAACACACGGCCCTCTGTTATTTGCAGTATGACCAGTGAGTGGGCATGCAGGGTCAGCACGTTGACCTCCTATATCCATT